TGCCCCCTCTGCAGGTCACTTGCAGCCCTCGAGAGAGACCTAGCCACCGTCCAACCCCTGAGTTGAAGATAAAGACCAAAAGTTATAGGAGGGAGTCCATCCTCAACTCCAGCCCCAACACTGGCCCCAAGCGCACCCCCGAACGGCCCAGGAGCGCCGAGGGCCAGAGCGTTTTTCCCTGCAGAGAGTGTGAGAGGTACCAGCCCCTTCCCTGGGTGCACTCATCCCCCCTGGGCCACCCACCTCCCCCTGCTCTGACCTGCATCCTCTGGTGACTCCTCAGGGTGTTCGACAAGATTAAGAGTCGAAATGCCCACATGAAGCGGCACCGGCTTCAGGACCACGTGGAGCCAATCGTGAGGGTGAAGTGGCCGGTGAAGCCCTTCCAGCTGAAAGAGGAGGAAGAGGAGGAGGAGGAGATGGGGGCTGACATCGGCCCCCTGCAGTGGTGATTCCTGGCAGATGGCTAGTGGGGGCAGGGCAGCTGTGGAGATGGGGACCCCCTGCCCTGTTATGTCTCCCTTCGCCTCTCCAAGACATTTGGGGCACCCCTCTACTTCCCTCACACCCTCCCCACGGGCCAGCCCAGCTTGCAGACACAGTGAGCATTCGACTATATGTAGGCAGGAGAAGCACAGTCATCGGACAGCTGCAAGGTCCCTGTGGGCTGGTGCCAGAGGCCCCGGCCTCTCTAGGGTAATAGTCGCTCCCCTTCTTTCAGTTCCACTCCTGGAGCAGGGAGGCCGGGGAGAGAACAGGTTAGATCTGTGTAGCTCTCAAATGTTAGCCTCAGTTTGGGGTTTGGTTCCATTGTTAGGTAAGGCCAAGATGTAGAGAATCAGTGGGAAAACACCTTCAGATGGCCACCATGTAGGGGCCCCCACCAGGGGCCTCTCTGCATTCCAGATTCTGTCCCTAGTCTGGCAATGACTTGTACATTGTTAGGTTTTTTTTGTACGTGTCGACTTGTAAATCTTATTAAATTGGGTTCTTGAGTGGCTGTCTTCTGGCTTCCGTGGCCTTTTGATCTAAGAGGCTTTTGAGTCCCTGCCACTTGCTAGAGCCACAGAGATGAGTAGGCTGAGCCCCTGCCCTGGAGGAGCTGGGGCCTCATACATTCATTCATTCAGCAATCATATGCCCAATCCGTGTGGCGGGGATACAGTGACACAAGAGGGACAAGGTCCCTTTCGGCATGCAGCTTACATTTTAGGAGCGGGAAGGCAGCAGAAATAAGCAAAGGGAGGTTTTAGATCTTGATCCATAGGTGTGCTTTTGGCCATAAGTAACAGAATCGTCAGCATAGGTTTAGGCAGTCAGGCCGTGTAGTGGGTCCAGTGGCTCAGCCGTGAGATCAAGCATGGTCAGCATGTTGGCTGCAGCAGCAGCAAGAATCAGCTCTTCCCACACAGGGAAGAGAGCACATTCCTGCCTTCCATGTGTCCGTTTTTAAGAATGAGGAAAGCTCGTAGCAGTCCACAGCAGAACACAGTGGGCATTTGATCATAAGTAGGCAGAATGCCCCTCATGTCTCATTGGCCAGCTGAGTAGATGTCATTGACTCTGATGGGGAAGAGGAACGGATCGGAGGACTGACTGCATGGCGTGTGATTGTGTCTTTAGTAGTGCATGTTGTGTTCTGAGGGACAGGGAGGGGGAGCAACATAGAGGAAGTGTCAGGAGTCCTCACAGAGAGGCCACATTTGAGCTAAGCAAATGTTCCAGATGAGGAGGGAGGAGGGGTGGAGGTGCAAGTGAAGTTGGAAGTAGTTGGGGCATTGTGGTTAAGCGAAAGGGCTCAGGCATGGGGTAAACCATCCTGGCTCCGCCTCCTTTGTCAGCTGCAGCAAGTCACTTTCCCTAGTTGAGCCTGTTTTCTCACTCTGTAGAATGGGATGGAAAATACCTACCTCCATATATCTGTTAAATGGGAAAATGTAAATGAAGTATTTGGCAGGGTGTACCATAAGAACTGAGCAGCTACTATTTAATGAGCATGCAGGCTATATGATTATTGTTTGGATCCCACCCTAAATCACAAGTTAAGCTTGATGTCTCTGGAAATGAAAGACTCTGGCTTAAAAGGATTGGGTGGTATCAGTCATCTGTTGCTACATAACAAATTACCCTGAAATGTAACAGCTTAAAACAAATGGGAGCTTTTATAGTAGTGCTGCTTAGACAAGAACCGAAACTGCTTGTGGTCATCCAGATTCACCCCCACCTGATCTGTGTCAGAATACAGTGGCAACCACAAGTGGTGGTCCAGGAGAGCCTTTGAATGTAAGAACAGAGTTGGGTGAAGGTTTCTTGTGCCTTAGCCCTCTCAGCCAAGTCCCACC